ATATATGCACGGGAATGTGAAGTTAGCACAATATCAATTTGTTTCTCGGCGAAGCATACCAAATGAGTTTCCTGTTTAGTCCATGATTGAACTGTCAGCAACTATTTTCTCTGCTTCACAAATTACAGGAGAATTTCCAGCGTTGTTGGGCTAAATGTCCCATGAGACTACGAACCCTATTGGACATTTTGATCAAAAGTAGTACGACTTAACCGCACACATTTTAGGTCACCATTTTTCTTCATTTTGTAATCAGTTAAACTACTAACTGGGATCCATACATTCCAGCAAACAAGCATAAGGTGATAATATGCATATTCCGTCTGTAGACTATAAGAACAATTTCAAGTTGTAGCAGGAATGTGATTGCTTCAGCATTATCAACATACAATAAAAGAAATCGACAAACAATAAATAGCATCGTTGTACAGTGTACACACAACACACAGGGCTGCCTGATCAGAACTACTAAGCACCAAAAGAATCAACTATGTATAGTTATTCCAACAGACAGATTGCAATGATTCTTCCTTAGTTGAACTTCTCTTCCCAGATCAACCCCTCCTAGCCGTCATCCTGATATGGCCTCTCCTTTGGTTCTCAGTTTGTTACAGATGAAGATGAACAACAGCTTGTAGTAGAACTTCAACTCCATGAGTGATGCTTTGTTTATCATCCTCTTGCGCTTTCCATAAACTGGAGTTGCTTATGTCAGTTTTATCACAACAAAAAAGATTGTACACAGATTTGACTGTGAATCTCCCAGATTTTTCAAGGGTCCATTTTGGTTTCTTTCTCATCTCTTACAACAACTATCAGTAAATATCTTAATTGTCTTAAGCCATTGAGTAATTGACGCACAACATGACAAAAAACAAAGCTGAAGCAGAAGTCCATCTAATGATTCTGTATTATGGCATCTCAACTAACCGCTCCGCTGGATTTTGGTACTAGAAAATCTATAGCTTCTCGGTCCACTCCTGTTCTCTTAAAGAAAATCTGATCACCCACTGGTTGAACTAAATTAATCATTCGAATAGTAGTGCATGACACGTACATAACAACTTCACAGTGTAAATCTCTAGGAGTTGTCCTAAAGAAAACAATCAGTTGACATGTCTTGGGCTTTTAATTGTTGTACATCTTCAAATCAATTGTCTTGACCTTTTTTTTTTGTCTCAGCCTGTAGCCGCGAGACCCAGTTTGATCATACACTAAGCAGTTAAGTCAGCAAATAAATCGGCAAATCTAATTGCTAACTCACCAGACCAAATCTGAAGTGTTTTACTTCCCCTGTCCCAAAATTTAAGAGTTTCTAGAATTCAAACTTTATCTCGAAGTGCAACGATTTCTAGAGATAGGACTAACACCGTGCAACTAATTTGGTGATAAGCGCTCAGTAGACTAAGGTAAAATAAGGGGTAAACTAGTCATTTTCCTCCCACACTATTCTTGCCTTGAGATGCTAGAAACCCTTACAATTTTGGATGGAGGGAGTTTCAGATTCTGTAGTGATGGTCCCTATACATAGTCGATAGTCTTTCTCATATGCAGCTGTCGGGTGCCTGCGCTCCGCCGATCAGCAGTCGCACAGTTAATGATATGATCGAGGTTTGCATGATAAATGTCATACATCAGATTATAGGCTATTTTATCATGTTAGATTTTGGATTAGGTATGTTTGCAGTGGCATAAAAAAATTATCCATTGAGTAATTGCCGCACAATAAGACAAAAAACAAAGCTGAAGCTGAAGTTAGTCCAAGGATTCCTAAGGCCCTGTTTGGATGTAAAGTATTTTCTAAGTATTAGCCAAATACCACGGTTTCAGAAAATACCATAGTTTTAGAGATCAAGGAGGTGTTTGGGTGCAACCAATTCCATGGTTTTGAAAACTGTAGTATCTCTAAAACTGAAGTTTTTTTGGAGTTTTGGAAACTCCAGTGCGGACCTCTTTTTTGTAAACCGAGGAGTCGATGCTGCCGCTGAATACGCCCGCACTAGCCTTTTTTAGTGCTCCGTATTTTTCGTCCGAGTCGAACAAGCAGTACCCGGCCACCCATACGTTTTGATTTTGATCTCTCCGATGCTGCCATGGCTACAAGAGCTCCCGATGCTCCCTTGGCCACAAGTAACGGATGTAGAGATCGACCGCTGCATGCTTGAACCTACCATCTGTTGCCTTTCTTTTCCCCGATTTACAGAGAAGGAACCCGATTTCCACAAATATATCTTCTTTAGGTAGGAGCGAAGGAGCCATCTAATGATGATTGCACCTACGAGATGTTGTCCACGAATCCACCTTTTTCCTTTCTCTGAGTTGGAGGCTTGGGGCGCAGGACGGCAGGAGCAACCAATCGAAAATCTGGATCATGATTTCCGGATTTGTTGTTTGATTTGCTATGGTTTCGTACTATTCTAGATTTGATGCACATACACGTGAGTTCTTCACATATTTTATGAGCAGGCACTGCCGAAAACATGGACTGAAGAAACATTCCAACGGGTAGCAAAAACTACAAAAATACTGATGTAGCCAAACAGGCCACGGTTTATCTCAAAACTGAAAAATACTCTGGTTTCCAAATACTATGGTATTACCTGGCTCTAGTTTCTAAAACCATGGTTTTTCAACACTATGGTTTTTAAAAACTTCAACATCCAAACAGGGCCTAAGTATTCTGGCATCTCAACTAACTGCTCTACTGGTTGTTGGTACAATGCATATCAACCGATATCTTCGGTCCACTCCTGTTCTCATAAAAAACTAAATCTGATCACCCATTGGTTGGGCTACATTAATCATTGTGATTAGTACATCACACGTATATCTATAATAACTACGAACTGTAAATCTACCGGAGTTGACCTGAACAAGTATAAATCGAAGCTAATACACATTTGTTCTTCGTCGTGTAGTTATCACAAACCTATTGGAATTTGGGAGGGAGCTCGGACCTCCGGAAATAGAGAACAATGGAGCGTGTGGATGCCAAGCAAACTGTGCGCATGAATCCTGGAGAAGGGGAAATGAGCTATGCTCGCAACTCAAAATTTCAGGTGCGTTCCTTGTCTCGGACCACTACAATGAAGTTTATGTTTTTTTTCTTCTATTGTGTACATTATTTCATTTTTTTTCAATACATCATGCTTTGGGTTTGATTAATACAAGTCCTAAAAAGATTACTTGAACAAACATTTAGCTAGATGATGAGTAAATGTGGAACCAAATAACTTGACTAATGATTCGTGCGCAGAGTGCTGAGCAGAGTAGAATGAAGCCCCTTATAGAAGGGGCAATCAAGGAATTGTGCTGCACCACCACTCCTCTCGCCAATGGTATCGTTATTGCGGACCTTGGTTGCTCATGTGGCCCTAATGCCATCACCCTGGTATCAACCGCCGTTGACGCCATTCACCGTCAATATGGTCAGCTTCAGCTACCTCTGCCAGAGCTGAGCCTCCACCTGAACGACCTTCCCAGCAATGACTTCAACACAGTGGTGAAGCACTTGGTAGCGTTTCAGCATAGGCTCAACGGCGAGAATAGTGAAGAGGTATTATCCCCATTGGTCAGCGCAAGTATTGTTCCAGGGTCGTTCTATGGAAGGCTGTTCACTACTGGATCTGTGCATCTTTTCCTCTCATCCAATAGTTTGCATTGGCTTTCACAGGTATATGCACCTTTTCGCCTCTAGAAGGTCAATAATCATACTCTTTATAATGTATTATCGAGTGCTTTAAGCTTCTTTACAATAAAAAAGAATTTATAGGCACCTGAAGATCTGGTAAAGAATGGCATTCCAATGTACCATAACGACCAACAAGTATGGCAGAAAATGCACCCAGTTGTACGTGATGCTTATGCGAGGCAATTCAGAAAGGACTTCATGTTGTTCTTGAGATCCAGGGCAAAAGAAATGGTTCCTGGAGGAAGGATGGTTCTTTCCTTCACAGCAACATGCTCCACCAGCCAGACTCAAACGTGGGAGTTTATAGCTTTGATTTTAGATGACATGGCATCAAGGGTACGGACTTGGTTATTTTTTCTTTGGGTCTCTCTAGCATCCCACGCTTTTGTCTTCATCTCGCTGTAACTTGAAAAAAATCTAATGCTTTAACCTTGGATTCCATGAAGGATGTGCTTGACAAAGAAAAATTGAAGACTTTCTACATACCATTGTATGCACCATATGAGACAGAGGTAAAGGAGATAGTAGAAGAGCAAGGCTCCTTTTCAATTAGTAATCTTCAAATGCATGACAGTATTGATGCGGATAAGGCTCTGATCAACCCGAAGATGATAGCATACGGGCTTAATGCCGCATTTGCTCCAATAATAAGAGACCATTTTGGTTCATCTAAAGATATAATGGATGCGTTTGTCAGGACTGCGGAGCAACTCATGACTCTAGCTAATTTACACGACGAACTTGCCAACAATCCCAGGGTTTTCATTGCTGTGACTCTTGCAAGGAAAGCTTGATCACGATTTCGTTTTGTGCATCAAAGCTGTTTTTTTTTTAAAAAGTTTACTCACTGTACGAAAATAAGAGAGCTACTGTTGTCGTTAGTCATTTTGCGCAGCTAGCTTTGTACAAGTCGGTAAATATTTCTATGCTTTTTGTTTAAAAAGAAATAAAAGCCTTTTGATTTGGTGCTCTATTTCTTATCTATTAATTAATGCACCAGACACTATTATTTGATATGTTTTAGTTTCCTTCCATTGGTAGTCACACATATGCCAACAATTAACGAAACCTTCTAGTAATACAACCATTGATTCTTTTTTTTTTTGTGATTACACAGTACAACTCAGACACTCACAACGCACGCACACTCACCCCTATGAACGTACATACGTAAACCCTACCCCTATGAGCATCTTAGAAGACTGAGCCGGCAAATCTCCAGATTGACGAAGTCACCACTGGCGTCTCGCTGTCGACGGCCACGTCGCCTACCGCTGAAAGCACAAATGCCGTTAAATCCTAGAAAATTCGCTCCTACCGGGAGTCGAACCCAGGACCTCAAAAGTGCTACTCAGATGCCTTAACCACTAAGCTAAGACCCCTTTCACTACAACCATTGATTCAATCATTACCTCAAGGTTGTTCCCTTTTTTAAGTTTAGTCATACTTAATTTTATGAATCAGGCAGTATGAACCTTGCACGGCAAACAAGTTTGAATAACGAGCACCACCGTTAGTGAATTGGAACCTTTCGTATTGAGGTGAATTTTTTAAAATCGAGCTCAACTTTTGAATTTGGACCCATCTTCATTTCCAGTTCAACTTCCTGATTTGTTTGAGACACAACTTTCATTTTTAATCCCTTTTTGAGGAATAAAAACTGTTGTTTGAGTGGAACAAACGGATGTGGGATGAGTGGCTTTGGTTATATATATAACTTATGTAAGCACAACCCACTATGAGTCATTAACTTTTATTTCTCTCAACTCTCAGCGAGCCACGCCATCTGAATAATTTTGTCCGTTGGATTGTAGTGTACAACGCATCCTATCCATCCTCTATAATCCACATCATGCAGTCAATCAGCTTCCAGCACACAATTTCCTTACTTCCGCCACCATTATGCAATCAAAATACCAACGCGATTAATATAGAACTATTTCTCCAGTAGCCGCTTCATTACTTTCGTCACCGTTATGCAATCAAAATACCAAAGTGATTAATATAGCACATGTATACCTACAGTTACATGTATAGATCACCTCTACCACGCTGGCTGTATTGAGAAGCAAACTCCCTATAGTTACATGTATATTAAAATTTGTGTTTGAAAGAAATTAAAATGATCTATTTTGTGTTGTGTAGCAATAAAATACTCCCATAGGCTTCCCTGAATACAACAACTTATTGGACGAGCATCACCAGCAATTCCTTGGAGAAAGAGCTATATGCTTCTCTTTTAAAAAGGGAATTTCATTGATATCAAAGCACATTACATCCCCTAATTACATAAGCAACCCAAACAATTCCAACTCCATTGATGGGAGACAAGAAACTTTGAAAGTCCCGCAAATTCCACCATCTAGGATCACCATCCCAGACGAATATGCCACGGACACTACTAGAATTCCGGACAAAAACTCCAATATAAAAGAATATGGCTATCTCACCATCCACCACCGTCATACTAATCTCTGACGGGAGAAGGAGCTATATGCTTCATAGTGTTATTGCACACAAATACATACAATTTCTTTTGTATGTGTGTGTATGTATGTATGCATGTATGTATGTATGTATGTATGTATGCATGCATGCATGCATGTATGTATGTATGTATGTATGTATGTATGTATACACAATTTTTCAAGTGTGCCAGTGAATTGGAACATATCTTGCAACTTAATTTATCCACTAATGTTCCACTTCCGTGTGTGTAATGATATAAAAGGAACAACCGAAAGAATCATCGAGCTATTAAATTCTATCTAACTGGAATTTTTAGACCAATCTAACTGGAGTTTCAAATTGCATGCACTATGAATATTGTTTCAGTTATTTGAACTAGTATGGCCGCACGCGTATTTGCGCGGCTAGATTTACTATACTATTTAAAATATTTTTATATTATTGTAGAAAGTTTAACATAGTTTATAATTATAATTTATTTATACTCTATATTTATAAAATAGTAGAAATAGGTTAGAGAATTTCGCACCATCCTCCGATTTGAGTGTGAGATGAGTCATCATTTATTTTGTATTGTATCTTAGCTAACCCATTGTATTGTGATAATTGGCTAGCAAGGATTCAACATCGAAATAATGAACAGGTAAGTATGGTGTAAGTTTGATAAATATGATATGAACTCGTGATACTTAACTTATAAATATTACCTATACTAGGATGCACTAATTTACCAATAATAATAATAATTATTTTCTATTTTTGTAATTTTTTTTAAAGAGATTCACGTATTGAGGACAAAAAGACATATTTTCTTTTAGAAGTAAGGTCGGTTAAAACGTGCCATGCTAAACAACTAATGTATGTCATGGTATTAAAAATAGCATGACATGCTAGAAATAAATCTTTTGAATAAAACTTGGCATGCTAAAAATAAAAGAATGTGCCAAGCTAGCTAGACATATGGTGGTGCGGTGTATTTAGAAATAAGTGTATTTTGAAATTTTTTATTCTCAAATTTAGCTATTTTGGACTCATAATGGTATTGTGGGTTAATTAAAAATAAAATTAGAGATATTTTTAGTTATTTGTATAATCCAAATTTAGTTATGTTTTTGACTTATAATGGCATGGCGGGTAATTTAGAAATAGATGTGTTGGGGGTCCGGCAACAAGTACACGAGAGGCGAAAGGCCAGGGACAAGAACTGAAGGCTAAAGACACACAACGAAGGGGTCAAAGCTCCTGGCGAAGGGTATTCGCGTGGCAGCTAAGCGAAGCCAACTATGGTAAATAAAGTCCGCTGCGGAGAGACGTAATGGGATTGATAAAGGACTTTATTGTAATAACAATCTTTCCCCCCTCTATAAATAGGGAGGAGGGGATCCTGTAATGACATCAGTTTTTCGGGCCGCGAGCTAAATACATCATTTACTCCTTTCGCGAATCTCAGTCGTCTCAACACCCTTCGCTCGGCACCGTGGGCGAAGAGAGGGCTTCGACGCATTACAGTACGGGAGACCCGAGGATCAGCCTGGGCTCTCGCCTTCGTCCAGCACCGCGGACAGATTCAGAGGGCTTCGCAAAGAGGATCCAGACACAAAGACCTTCGGAGGGCTTCGCCACGCTAGGACCGCAACACACAACCAGTTGGAGGGCTTCGCTAGGCCCGTTAAGGAGCCTGATTCCCCAACAAGGTGTGAAGGGTATTTTTGGTTTTTTTATTCTGAATTTAGCTATTTTTGACTCATAATAGCATGATAGGTAATTTAGAAATGGTTGTGAGAGGTATTTTGGTTATTTTTCTATTATTCCGAATTTAGCCATTTTATAAATATTTATAGGTGGTTTTGTGATTATTTTTTTTATGATGGCATGATGGGTAATTTTCTCTTCTTATTTTTTTTGATAAAAAAGGGAATTTTTAGTCCTTGAGAGCGAATATGGTGGCCCCTTTTCTTGGTCAATTATATTTATAATAAATAGATACATGTTCATCAATTGATTGTTATGGCACACGTTAACATCCTGCAGCAACACACGGGGTAGTCACATAGTTCCTAGAAAGGGGAACGACGGCCGTGGAGTAGTTCGCCTATTGTGCAATGTATTTAGGTAGCAAGCGATGGCTATAGCTAGTCGGACCCATGCATTAGGAGGGAGATATTGCGAGACAGTTTGCATTAACGGTGAGATGTCTTTGTAAGATTTTTGGAGGCGGCGCTGGTGTGGTTTGCACCATTGTATTGAACACATGTAAACCACATGGTTTGATAAAATCACGCAGGCGTGTACAAAAAAGAGAAAAAAAACAAGAGCGAAAAAGAATGGGCGGGGGAGGATAGAGGCGGTGGCCAACTGCCGAACCCAACATGGGGATCGAGAGAAGATTGAAGTATCTGGAGCGGCCGTTTGTGTGATGGACGACTTCTCATGCAGGGCGTCACGCGCGACCAAGGAAAGGATCTTGTGGGCGGCGGCAAGGCCTGCGCCCCGTCGTTATCTCGGCGCACTAGGCTTCTCTGCGTGCTCAATACCTCCCTCGATCCGGACGCGCGCACTAGTATTATCCAAGGAGGTGACGCCCAAAGAGGAAACGGCAGTTGTGGAGAGCTCAGCACCAGTGGCTGCTTACGCCACGGTTACATCCGCACGTCTCCATGCGCATGTCCATGACTCCGCCGAACAGACATGACACGCCTCTGCAACGCTGCATATGGACTGCTCCTCCGTTGTAGGCAGAACTGTTCCTACCCATGTTCTCCGAGGACTGAGGATACGTTCATGGCTTGCGTGCTTGTATTATTTTCCCAGTTCAGCAACTAACAGAACTAATTCTGTTATTTCGATTAAACATTCTGTGATTAGTGAACAAGGGCAAGGGGATCAAATGCCATGTTGCAGCCACCTACTTGTCGGCTTACTGCTACATAAAGCTAGCAACAGTGACACAAGTGTAAAGAATTTTTCACATTCCCATACAACTTGTACTGCTTGCCGCTCCACTTCTCGTTAGACCACTCGCAATGTCGATAGAAAGCGAACCTTAGACTCTAAAAAACGAACAGAGTTTGTTCAGCACGCAATCTGTTTAGAATACCTGACCCCTTTCAAAACCCGACGAAGTTGTTCAGCACGCAACAGAGTTTGGTGTCTCAAAACAGTTTCAGAGGCCCATAATGGAGACAATCAACCAGATATTAGTCCCTTAATTGGGCCAAATTGAAGTGAGACGTACCTCTCCTAACAACAAGGACATGACGCAAGTGAAATAATACAGGTGGTAATGACTTAAGTATCTACAAGCGCATCAGGAACAAGAAACATGTATAGTGCCACCGACCGAGCGATGCAAACTGCAACTGTGGACCACTCTGGATCCTACATATAGATGCCTATCTATCTACAGTTGAGGCGCCCACTAGAGCACAACAACCTTCTCCTTTTGATTCCAGCTCCCCTACATACAGACCGCGTTTTGCTACGTGTAACATGTATTCCTTTCTGCGATGGAACTTCGGTTTATTCCGTGTACAGAGATACTCCCTGCATGTAGTGTGCTGTATGCCTTTGCAATGTGCGTTTTTTTTTCTCTCTGGAAGGCTGGCCTCACACGTTTATCGTGACCACTGACCGAGAGCACTAGATATATTTCGGAATCGAAACTCATCTAATGATTGTGCAATTGCATGGCATGGGTGATAGGGATATCCGGCCGCGGGCATGGTGCGCGCAAGAGCGTGCACCTCTCTCGGGAACGTGCACCGGCCAGCCCACTATCTAGCAGCTACCGGGGCGCCGGGGCCACTACACTACACGGTTATATATACGCACGCCTGCCTCTCTGGGTCGTGCTTACGATCGTGCTCCTTTATCCTTAACCAACCGCGTCTCAGTTTGTTTTGATATATCGC